CCAGCATGAGCTGGGAGCTCTCCAGTCTGTTGAGTGACACACTTAAGGCCACTCTCAAGGTGAAAATTAATTACAAAGGACGGGACAAGTCTACATCTACAATGAGGGTGGAGCCACTAACTCCTTTGTGATTAGCCTTCGTGCCTTCCCTTTGCTTGTCCTGTGTAAATCATGTGATTTGCTGGCTGTAGTACGCATCAGTGACCCCTACTTAATGTTATCCAGAGGACCCCAGAGTTAGGCCTTCTGACCAGGACTCACTGAAATCTCACCATGGGATTTTGTTTTCCTCATCTTCGGAGAAGACAGGAAGTAGGAAATGGCTAAAAGATGCTTCACCCAGTGCCTGACACCTATATCACTCAATTGTGCTAGCCGGAAGCTCCAGGAAATGAGTTTCTGAGCAGACACTTCAAGAGAGGCTACAGAGAGGATTGTCGGTGTTACTCCTGTTAGTCACAGGAAGCTGGTCTGTGATAGGGCAGGGGAAGTGCTTGCCTCTCAGTTCTTAGCTTGCCTCTCAGGTCTCCTGAAAATCTTATGTAGGAGACATTCTTATTATTATCAATTTGCTGCCAGGGGCGCCATGCCTAGGAAGGCCATAAGCTCTCCCAAGAGCGCATGGGATAGCTATTACTGAAAGACTCCAAAGCCAAGTGCTCACTTCAGTGAGAGCCACAGCAGCGTGGCCCACAAGAGGGTTCACAGTGGCCCCCGAGGGCAGGCGTGCACCAGCATCAGAAGGTAACGCATACCCCTTCCAGGACCCCCACCCATCTTCTATCCACTGGCACAGAGCCATACCACTAAGGAAGGCATATGGCAGTTCCCATACGCTTCTGGTGAGGAGGAGAACTTGCAGCCAACTTGGGAAAGAAAAAGGCTCTTCATTCTGCACCCATGTACTGGACACCTTGCTAGGTACTAGGGCTATTAACACAAGTGAGCCCAGGATAAATGGCCTGGGGGTGCCAGTGTGGAGGCACACTGTTCTGCTATGCGTGGCATGTGGTCCCAGCTGGCTTAGGAAGCACCAAAGAGAACAGTCGATCCTGGGAGAGTCAAGGGAGGCTTACCAGAGAGACAGCTGTGCTGGGTATTGAAGAGTCAGTAGGAGTTCACTGGAATTCATTGGCCGCATTGCAGTGGGAAAGGGAGGGAAAGTGAATTCACATCTAATTAGGCTGCCAGGCACCTCGTACATGCTATTTTGTGGAATTTTCACAGTGCCTTCTGGAGGTATTTTTACAATATGACCTTACAAATGAGGAAACTGAGGCAGGAGTCTTAAATGAATTTCCCAGGACTCTTTTGGCAGGTCAGAAGGGTCAAAGTTACCTTCATAAGGACACTAAGGGCTATTTTTCTTTTTCACTGTATTGGCCTTTGCACTGCTGGCCACGTAGCTCGGTAGGTACCTTGACACCAATCAAGCCCTTGGCAACAAAACATAGCAGCTATATTTTTTAATGGCATGTACTCACAGTTTTTAAAAAACTAATATCATATAACAATGGCCTTGATGATGCAGAAAAATTGTTGCTTTTAATCCTCTAGTACATGCATGTGTAATATTCTGTAAAATGAATTGGGAATGAGCACAAAATATTTCTACTGTACACTGAAGAATGGGGGTTTCCCAAAGTAAAAGCACTTGCATAACTGCTTGGGTTACAAGCTGAACTAGCCACTGGTTGGTTGGTTGTTCTTTTCATGAAATTCTATTTTACTGGAAGAATGACTGACAAACTATGGTTATTCAGACATGAGCATTTGGCAGATCTTTTTCTTTCCCTTTCTTCCTCTTTCCCTCCTTTCTTTCTTTCTTTCTTTCTTTCTTTCTTTCTTTTTTTTTTTTTTTTTTTTTTGTGGTATTAAGGATCAAGTCCAGAGCCTGGTGCATGATAAGCAAGTGCTATACCCTCAACCTTAAGTATTTTCTTGAAAATGAACAAGTGAGCCTACCATTTCAAGGACATAGCTAACATTTATCATTTGTTTCTTTTGAGAAAAAAGTTGGAATTCTAGAAAACTTATGTCTTTCAGCTTCTCAGATTATTGACTTTCTTTGTGAAACTGATGGTGATATTAATGGATGTGATTTTTTTAGTAAGAAAATATTTCAGTATTTGAAAATCTACCTAACTCATTGAGTAAAAACTTTCCAATTGACCCATATATTGCACATGTTACAGAATCATGAATGGGTAAAAGGTCCATTGAAAGTACAAGACAGAATAAGCAATTTCCATCATTGATCTAGATTTCACAGGTAGCTTATCTTTAAGAAGTTTAAGAATTACTACTTAATGAGTTTTAATGTGGTTTCAAAGGATATTCACAATTACCCAAAAGTTCATTAACACATGCACCTCTTTCAAATGACATATGTGGTTGGACTTTCTTCATGGATAGCAACCAAAATGAGACATGTCAATAGACTGAATGCAGAAGTAAATACAATAATTTAGCCAAGCATTAAAGAGATTTGCAAAAATGGAAGGCAGCGTTACTTTTTTTCTTTTTCCTTTGTTTTGAAAGTTAAGGTTTTTTTTTCAAATAGAAATATATCACTTATGTTAATATGTATTGGGCTTCTTGTTATTACTGTATTTATTTATTTATTTAGTCTTTTTGAGACAGGGTTTCACTATGCAATTCAGGCTGGCCTTGAACTCACTCTTTTTGTCATCCAGGCTGATCTCAAACTGTCTGTGATCCTCCTGCCTCAGCCTCCTTGCGTGCTGGGATTACAGGAGTGTGCCTCTAAGCCTGGCCTTCTTGTCATTATTTTAAATTAATTACTAAATTAATATTTAAAAGGCCTCAGTTTTAGTTTCTAATGTGGAACAATTTGATAGACACAAGCCACCTAAATAAAAGCTCCTTAAGTGCACAATTGTGAAGAGTGATATCCTGGGACCTAAATATTGGAGGAATACTCCCTCCGGAATCACAGAAAAGGAGCAATCCACAGTGACCTGGATCATTCCAAAGTGCACCATCTTTCCTAGCCCCTGATCTTTAACCAGGAGGAAGGGGGTGGGGGCTCACCCTCTCCCACCGAGGGAGGTTTATCAGAGTCTCTAGAGGAATGCAAGCAAGCTGAACAACTGCTTTCAAGATAATGGCCTGAGAATCTACCAAGTCCTCCTCACTTCTCATCTCCTCCAAACCCTTCCAGACCCTTTCCCCATGTTCTTGACCCCTTTCTGCTTCCTTTCCTCACTTTCCCTGCTCTGAACCTGGTAGGTAGGGGGTGACCTCACAGGAGGCTGCGCTCATCAGGCTGAATAAACACCAACAATGCTCCACTTTGAAGGAGTTGGTGCTCCTGGAGATGTTTTCCGGAGATTTCAGGATGTTCCCGGGGCAGGCAATACTCTCGGAAAGCGGAGCAGTCTTGATGAAACCAAGGGCTTTTCACTGAGACTCTCACAAGTAATGTTCTGTGTCTGAATAAACACTTTCCATTGTCTGTTAAGCATCCAGGTATCTGTTGCTTTTTTTTTTTTTTTGGTGGTGGTTTGGGACAGGGTCTCACTATGCAGTTCAGGCTGGCCTTGAGCTCACTTTGTAGCCCAGCCTGGTCTCGAACTTGCAATGATCCTTCTGCCTCAGCCTCCCGAGTGCTGGAATTACAGGCGTGTGCCGCCACGCCCGGCCCAGGCATCTGTTCCTGATGCTTATGATAAAAGCCAACATGTTTAGCTTATTCTGTGCCCCTCTTAAAGCAAAGTGCTGCAGAACGAAGCTTCATTAGATTCCCTCTCCTTCTCTGGACTCTCAGTAGCTTTTTCTTTTTTTTTGTCTGTGGGTTCATGTAAGATGTGTCCATATCTCACTGGACTTAGAGACTTTCCTCACTCTGATCCTGTCATGGGTGACACCTTGAGGAGGAGGGAGGCTGCAGTTCTGTCCAAACTTACTCTTTCTTTCTCTTTTCTCTCTTCCTTCCCTTTCTTTCTGATTACTCAGAAAGAAATGTACTTGCTGGGTCCAGCAGTAGACCAAGGGCTGCAACCCAGAGCCATGCCCCCTCTCCGCCTCCACCCCAGATCCTTCATGAGGAGCTCCCCACTCCAAGTTACAGACCCAGGCACTAGGAGAGCTCCCAGCGCATCTTCCTTACCGCATTTCCTTCTGGCTCATCGGCCCCACAGCACTGGGCGCAGATATCTACCCTTTCACACACAGATCTGACCTCTGGAACCCTGTGGGTCAGGGCTCAGCCATTACAGCCTAAATTCTCCTTGTTTGCCGAAAGGTTCTGCATTCCCTCAGGCAGGCAGAGCTGGCTCAGGGCAGTTTGCTTCATTCAAAACTCCTTCAAGGCCTTGGAAGGGAGAGGAGTTTTGTTTTCAAGGAGGTAAAAGTCCCATACCATAAAATTCACCATTTGAACTATTTAGTAGTGAACAATTTAGGTGAGTTTTAGGTTGTAATTTTGCACGACTAATGTCACAGTCTAATTCCAGAATCTGATTTCTGAAAAGAAATTCTATACCCGTTAATCAGTCAATCACTCTGCATTCCTACCCTCTCCTACTCCTCCCTTGGAAATCATGAATCTGTTTGCTGTCTTCACGGATTTGTCTGTTCCAGACATTTTCTATAAGTGGAATCATATAGTATGTAAAGGTGAATGTTTTCAAAAAGAAAAATAATTTCTAGGGAAGACTGTTCATTTTTAGAATGAGAACATTTATAATTTAAAAAGTTTATTTAAAGAGTCAGAATTGACAACAAAAACTCATTAAGAAGTGTTTTCTTGGAAAACCATCCTTCTGATGAGGCTGCTGTTGGTGGTCCCAAGGGTGAGAGAGAGAAGTCGTGTGGTTGACTTTGGGCTTTCCTTGGGGGTTTCTCAGAGAATCTCTTGGTTTTGTAGGAATTCTTTTGGTGGCTGAGCCAAACTGTCAGTCTCAGCAGCCAAACCTAACTGGGTGGAGGGTGTAGGGGGGATGCATCTCTCCACTGTCCTTCTTGTGTCTCTGCAGGGGTGAAGAAGAGAACCAAAGTCATCAAGAACAGCGTGAACCCCGTGTGGAATGAGGTATGTGGGTCTTTCACTGCCTTTTCTCTCTCTGCTGCCTCTGTCACTGCTGACACGTTGGTGGAGGTTGTGGCTTTTTCAGTGGCGTCTTCCTGGAGGGGAGGGCTGGTGGCCCACAGTGCAAACGAACTCCTTCTGGTCCTAGGGACTCGGGAGGTGGGTTGTAAATGGAGACTGCCCTGTGGCGTGGGAGGGGCATGGAGACCAGTGAGATGTCTCTCCCTACTCCCAAGTGGAGGATTTGGAGGGACTCCCTTGCCTGCCTTACCCCCTCACACAGGCTGTTCTCTCTGCCTAAAGCTTACCTCCCCCGCACCCCCAGCTAACCAGGTCCTCCAACGGCTCCCACTGGCCTTTGGCCCCTCACTCAGCTCTCTGCATATCTGGGTCTCATGTGGTCCTTCAGGAGCCCTGGCTGCTTTATGGGGACAGATCAGGATGCACAGAGGAGCCTTTACTCTGAGGAGCATTTCGGGACCTCTGGAGGGCCCTACCTGATGTGGCACTAACTCACACTGTCCACCAGGGGCCTGGCTTCTGGACGAGGACAATGATCTTGCTCCCTGAGGACCCTACAGTCACCTGGCTTTTTCCAGCTGTAGTTTTCACTTAGCTTCCTAGAGGAAGATTGGAATTGGCTTGGCGGAGGGGCATGAGAGTGTGACCTCCACTGCTGTTACTTTCAACTCTTTCTCTCTCTCTTTTTTTTTTTTTTCTTTGGTCTTTTTGAGATAGGGTCTCGCTGTGCAGTTCAGGCAGGCCTTGAGCTCACTTTGTAGCCCAGGCTGGTCTCGAACTTGCAACAATTCTCCTACCTCAGCCTCCCGAGTGCTGGGATTGCAGGCGTGCACCACCGCGCCTGGCTTGTTGCTTTCAACTCTCACTGGCAGCTCCAAAGTCTAGAACTCTGGTGTTCATTCATCTTCCACCCACCCATCCACTCCCTCACCCTCGAGAGTCACTCACCTGCTCGGTGCCCTGGGCCACAGGGGCAAACCAGAGAGGCTCTTCCTCTGGGCCATAGGTTAAGATCCCATTTCTCCTTTTCTTTCAGGGTTTTGAGTGGGATCTCAAGGGCATCCCTCTGGACCAGGGATCTGAGCTTCATGTGGTGGTCAAAGACCATGAGACGATGGGAAGGAACAGGTGAGGGGGTTCAGGGGTGGATGGTCCAGGGCTTGAAGATACAGGTAGGCCCTGGTGGATTCAGACTGCAGAATCTGGCCAAGAGAGCTGGTGTTTTGGGGGCTGCCTTTCCTGAGCCAGGGGGCATGGTCCTCAGTAGATGCTGGGAAGAAACTGTAGCCTCAGGAACCGAATGTAGGTACAACTGAGAACTGCCCAGCTGCCAGGGCTAGAATCAGGTGTGGCAGAGTTTATACGGGCAGCATGTGTCCCAGAGAAAAAGGCACCTGGCCTTCCGCTCCAGCCCAGAGGCTCTGGGGCGGGGCTCCCTGATAGGCTCCCTCTCTGCCCAGGGTGGTGAGGGCAGTGGCACACTCCAGGAGGCGGGCAGACAGGCAAGCAGGCAGAACTGCAGCCAGCACAGCGCTGTTGAAGAGGGAGCCGTGTGGAAGAAGTGGGAACCGAGGTGAGATTTATGATTTAGAAGTCAGAGCAGTCATAATGCTAACACAGCCTGAAATCTCTCTTGTTGGGGTTTCTGTGGAGAGGGTTTCCAGGTGAGGAGGGGGACTAGAGGAGCCAAGTCATGGTGGAACAAGCAGTTGCCTTCTAGGTAGGTGATGGATGGCTTCTCTGGCCAATGAGGTCCTGAACCTTGTATGTTGCTGACAGGGACGGGCAAGACCAACCCAGCTTGTAGACTGGCTGGTGGTCCCATTTGTTGGTGGTGGGTGTGAGTAGACTGGGAGATGCAACTGGTGAGCCTGCAGAGTGACAGGCTTTGTCGGGGTATGGGGTTCCGTGGTTCCTGGTGGGCAGGACAGGGCTCTGCTGCGTTAGGTGCAAGCAGGGGTGTGGGTTTATGTGTCCAGTGCTACTTACAGACATTGAGGTCCAGCGATCAGGTGTGGGCTTACTGTATTTGTGACCCAGCTCACAAGGGACCCTTTGTTTGGGAACTGGGGCAGCTAGTATCTGAGGCCTGCAGGCTTGGCTCATTTACCCTGAGGGTGGAGGGGGAGAAAGAGGAGGGTTCAGGAATCTGGGGAGGGTCTCAGGCTACCAAACACCTAGAAAATTTGAGATCTTACATGCTTGGAAGAAAAATTCAACTGCTACCATCTTTTTGTGGCTGTGTTTACAGTGGGTGCAGGGTATGGTGTTGGTAGGGATGACGAGGACGTTTTCACTGGGCCCTCTGAAGGAAGGACTGCAAGGTCTGGGGCCCAGACCTGCTGCTTGGGCCTCCTCTGCCGGAGGCATCTTGGGCCTATCTCACCCAGCTCTGAAGCTCAGCAGCCCCCACTGCACAGGGACTGGGGCTGCAGTAAGTTCAGGCTGAGCTGCCTTCCTGTGCAGATGCTTTGGGGAAGACCAGGCAGCCTCTTTTAGCCTGAACGGTGGACCAGCAGGTCAGGGAGGGAGCAACTCTGGACACTGGGGAGTCTGAAAGGCTTCCTGGAGGAGGATACTCACACTGACTGATGGGCAGGGGTATGCTTTGCAGAGCTAAAAGGGGGTGGGTATTCAGTGTGGAAGTTGCACAGACTCAAGTCTTACTGGTGGGGGCTGGGGATTTAGCTCAGTGGCACAGTGCCTGTGTGGCAAGTGCAAGGTTGTGAGTTCAATTCCTGGTACTGGAGAAAAACCAAAACCAAAAAAAAAAAAAAGGTCCTACTGGTGGACTCGGTCTCCTGTGCAGCCCTGAGAGAGGGGAGCACTGGGGGCAGATTGGGAAGGGGTCCTCAATGTCAGGCTGCCCATAACAATAGCAAAACCCACAGGTGATGCTTACAGAAAGCTGAGCCAAATGCCTGGCCCTGTGCTGAGCCTCACACTCTAGCTCTTTTTGCATGAGTTAGGTCCTACTGTACAATTGCCATCACTATGGATGGGGAAACTGAGGATCTAGAGATAAGGGAATTCTCTCAAACGCTAGTGGCAGTGGAACAGTGGTGGAGGGGCAGGTCTTTGGGACATGCTTATGATCCCTGAGCCCCTGCTCCTCTCAAGTGCCTCTGGGAAACCCCACAAAGTTACTGGGTCCTTCTGGAGAGTTTGGTTCCCTGCTATTGCTGGAGTTGAGAGAGTTTAGTGAGGCGGAGGCAGACAGTCTGGTTACTGCAGGGCGCGTGGAGGAAATGCATATTTTATTTTTGTTATCATACTCAGCATTTTTGCAGGCCTGGTGGAGAGTTTCTGAGACCACAAGGTCAGCAGAAAAGAAGGGGCTGTAAACATATTTCTTGACTTTGGCCATGTGTAGCCCTGAGCTAATGTCATCCTGCAAGTCCAGCCTGACTACTGCCTCTGCTACAGTAGCCCAGGGCCGCACACAGGCTGTTCTGGCTCTGTGGTCATATGTCACATGGAGGAGGATGGGTGCCCCGAACCTTGGGGCCCTCTCACTGGGTGTCCTCTAACTCCTGGGGGCAGCAGCCAGCTCCCTGAAAACCAGTTCCCCACATGATGAGGTCACTGCAGGCGCATTTTCTAGAAATCAATTCCTCAAATATCAATTTGCAAATGGTTAATTTACTAAACAATTTACCAGAACCTTCTTTCCTATAACTACTTGGATGTTTTTTATTTTTCCATTTATCTTACTTTTGTATTTCCAGCTATTAAGATTGTAATTAAACTAAGTGGAATTGTAAATGTACATTCATAAATATCTGCAGAATATCAGAGGCTGCCCAAACTGCACTGTTCCAAGAGGAAATGATGGGAGCACATGGGGTCTCCTGCTTTGACAGCAGGGGTGACCTATGTAGACCAGAGGGAGGCACAGGGTACCTGCAAGGGTATCCCACGATTAGATCAGAGAATACTTCCACTGTTATCAAAAGTGGAAAGGAATCAAAGCAAGCTCAAAAGCACTGAAAATTCTAAGATTGTGAAAACAATAACTGTCACAGCAAGTAACAACAGCAGCCATGTGACAGTTTAGATTTTGAAAGAAAAAGTTCAAGGAATTCAACTCAATGAACATTTTGCATTGAATGCCTGCTCCTTGCCCTCGAGTCATCACGCCGGCCAGGGAATGACGGTGGCTGCTGTCACCCAGCTGTTCTCAGTCCTTCTGTGGTTTCGGTGAGGTTGCAGTGGGTTTTCCTGCAGCCACCCCTTCATTTCTGGGGTTTCTGAGCATGTCTTTTGTGAGCTCACTGAGTGTCCTCTGTGGGCCCTCTTCAGAGCAGGTGCTCAGCGCTCCAGCCAGTTCTTCCACCGTCTCCCTCGGTCCAGCCCTGCTCCCTCTTCCAGACCTCCAGCCTCTGCTTCCTCCATCTGCATCTAGAATTCGACTTAAGGTCTCCCTCATTTTGTGCAGCGTCTCTGCACTTCTGTCCACAAGTCTTCTGCTTTGCTCCTTTTCTTTCTTGACTCCTCATCCTCTTTTCATTCATTCTCTCCGTCTCCTCTCCCTCTACTGTCCCTACTTCTCCTCTCC